ATTATTTTGTTTCTTAAATCAGGATTTCTCTATGTAGTTCAGGCTGGTCTTGAACTCACTGTGTAGCCCAGACAGGCCTTAAACTCCTGGTGATCCTTTTGCCTGTTTTCTGAGAGTTGGGCTTACAGGTGTTTGCCACTATGCCTGGTATAAATTTTATTTTGAAACAAGTTCTCAAAATGTTGCCTAAACTGGGTGCGGTGGTGCATATCTCTATTCCCAGCATTCAAGAGACTGAGGCAGGAGGATGAGTTTAAGGCCAGACAGAACTGCATAGTGAAACCCTGCCTCAAAAAAAAAAAAAGTTGCCCAGACTAGCCTTGAACTTGAGTCCCTGCCTCAGCTGGGACTATAAGCATACACTCCTGTGCCAGGCTTTATAAGATATGTTGTGGAATAAAATCTATTGAGACCCCAGTGATTCAAGGATAAATGGATATAATCTATTTGTTATGAATTGCAAAGTCTATGTCATTCCCAAATTGATAGGCTGAAATCCTAATGCCCAGAGTGATGGTATGAGGGAGTAGGGCCCTTGGGGGATCAATGAGTGGAAATAGAGCCTTTTTGAGAAAAAAAGCTTCCTCACTCTCTCTCTGCCACATGAGGATACAAGAAGCCAGCTCTCTGCAGCCTAGAAGAGAACCCTCACTGGAATCAGCCATGGTGGCATGCTGATTCTTAGCCTTCCAATCTCTGGATGTGCAAAGTAAGTAAGTGCTTGTCATTAATAAGCCACTCTGTTTATGATGTTTTATGATATCAACCTGAACAGACTCAGACACAAAACTAAAAAAATGTTTTATATCATAATGTGTCTTATGGTACTATTTATAATATTAAATAGAAGGGGAAAAAACACAAAATTTTGGGAACAAGGATGTAGCTTAGTAGCACAGTGCCTGCCTGGCAAGTGCAAGATTGTGAGTTCAATTCCAGGTACCAAAAAAAAAAAAAAAAACAACAACAACCCAAATGTCTAGGAGCAATTGAGTACTTCATCACAATGAAATAATATGTTTATATTATATATGCTAAATGGTAAAAGTACTATAAATTAATTCATATAACATTAATGCATATGTATAAAAATATGTACAAGAAAAGACAGGGAAAAAATACTTGAAAGGTTAACTGTGGTCATTCATTTTTCCCAATCATTTTTGTGTTTACTATAATTCCCATCCTGAGTCATATTAGGCTAGGCTTATAATGAGGTACCAGACCACCTCAAAAATCTCAGTGGCTTAACACATCTCTTTCTCATTCATACATATTTCACTCTAAGTCAGGCGTACTAAATAATAAAACACCACCATTATTGCTATATTTCCTCCCTGTTTCATAGGCTTCTTGCTGCATCAGGAACAGGAGTTAATTTCCCTCCTATAGAACTTATACTGGCCTCAATTTCTTGCCTTGGCCAATCCAATACAGTAGCAGTGATGTTTCATGACATACAGTGGGTCATAAAAAACCTTCTAAATTCTTCCCAAGTACCTTGAAATATTTGCTTTTCCGATGCTTCTGGGGATCTGAGACCCATGCAGTGAGAAGCCACAAAGGTGCTCTGGTTGACAGATCCAGAATACCCAGTCAATAGCCAGCATAAACTGCAGGCAGCCAAGAGAGCCCTTTGGAAGACTCTCTCAGCCCTGCTCAGAAGAGTGATGAAGACATGGTAGTTCCAGCCAGCAACTGACAGAAGCCACAATTGCCCCAAGGAAGAGCTGCCCAGCACAGCCCAGTCATCCACAAGGACGCATATGTATGGTGATTAATTTCAGTGATTGATCATCAAGGTCAAGTTGATTGGATTAAGAGACTTGGGGTGGACTGTGAGGGTGCTAACCTCATCAATGGATTAACCCACTGATATGTTCACAGCTGGATGAGCTACCAGGAGGCAAGCCTGGTTGGTGGCAGTAGTGGGGATGACTTTAAAGCACACACTGTCCCCAGCCTCTTCCTCTCCAGCTTTTGCCTTCGCTTCTGCTGTCTGGCTTCCACAAGGTGAGCAGCTTCCCTCTGCCCTCCTATTTCTGCCTCACTTCAGGTCCACAGCAATGGAGTCAGCCAAACATCAACTGAACCTCCAATACCCTGGACTAAAACATGCTTTCCTCCTTTAAGTTGTGTGTGTGTGCCACCATCGGCAAGGTGACTAACCCAACAAGAGAGTATTATAAACCGATGCTTTAAACCAGTAAGTTTTGGGGTGCTTTACACCCCGAAATTGATAAGCAGAGCATCTGATGACTCCCAGGGCAGCTGACATCCACACCATGAAGCACTGATCCAGGCTGTTGTGTTCTTATAGCACCACCATCTCAACATCTGGCCTCCACCGCCATCCTAAAGAGGAAGGCATTGTTCAAAGTTTGAATAGGACCATCTGGTGCCTCAGCCTGGGAGAGACACGTCTCATTTTGGCTCACAGTCAAATCGTATCACCCACCTAACTCCAAGTTAGGAAGTGTACCTAGGAAACGTAATCTCCTGCACATCTATGTAGGAGATGCTTTGGGAGAGTCTACCAAGCCACACCAAGCATGATGGCACTGCCTGTAATCCCAGCTACTCAGAAGACTGAGGCAAGAGGATCAAAATTTAACATCAGACTGACTTAATTTAGCAAAAACCCTATCTCAAAATAAGTTTTCAAGGGAACTGTGTGTGTATCTCAGTACTTCCCTCTTAAAAAAAAAATCTTTAGCAATCCTGTGCATTATTTTCACTTTTTAATTGTGAAATATTCCAAACAAAGTACAGGAACTAAAATACTAGGAAAAATAAATAAAAATGAAATCTTAGACATTGATCTACTATCTCAATTTCTGACCTTCATAACCACACACACACACACACACACACGCACACGCACACTCAGAGTTTTATTAGATATTAGATCTACAAGAGTTTTCACGGATGTGGGTGCTAAGTAGTGATTGGAATCATTCAAAGGACACCTAGTTTAGACATCTTAACAAAGTGCTTCACAATCACTCCTCAACCTACCTTTCCACATAGCTTGCAGTGGGCTGGGGAGATGGCTCAGTGGAATAAGTGCTTCCCTGGCAAGCACAAGGGCCTGAATTCAATCCCTGGTTCTGCAAAAAAAAAAAAAAAAAAAAAAATAGCTTGCAGTTTTCCTGTCAATACACTCAATCAGGGATGTTGGTTATTTTTGTCTTCTTATATATACTCTTCTTTCACTAAAGCAACATTCCAAGTTTCCTTTGTATAACATTCCTGCTCAACTCTCAGCAAAACAGTTTTGACGAGATTAACTCTCCCTCTACACCAAGGATAAACTGGTTCATGCCCAGCAGGGGCTCCAGGACTCCTGGGTACAATCATCAGTATCCTTGGAATGAAGTCCAAAAATATATTTGACAACCAAAGGGAAGATTGTTCTCCCTCCTGCTGACATAAACAAAGAATCATACAAATCCAGGCCTGGTGCATCTACCTTGGGACCAGAAAGGAAGTCGGCCGTAGGATGTAGCCCCTACACTGGATACCAGAAAAGAAAGAGGAAAAGACAAAAGATCCTTGATGTCATGAAGCCTCATCCAAAGCCTGAACCACCTCACAACTTTTTAGGTGACAGGACCCATCCTCTTTATTGTTTAAATCAGTATGAATTGGGTTTTCTATTGATCTTTCACCAAAATGTTCTTAATTCATAGTGCCAACACTATCATCAGTCACACTTTAGTCACTTTCATTTCTTTCAAACATCTGAGCTTTGATTTCAAAATAGTTAAATGAAGCCCAAAGTATATTTCATCAGAAACATGATCCAGAACCCTACTAGAATGACTGAAGAACAAAATCACTATCTGTAGCACCTAGGAAAAAACCTTCAAAAGCTGATAATACCCCAGATTTCTAGCTATTGAAGAGTGTCATTCCTTAGGCACTGACTTGTAGACATCTGCCATTCTGGAGCATGTGCCAGGACAAATGGGTGGCTCTGAGACCCAAGCTGGTCTCAGAACTATGTGCTGAGCATGCAGGTTGGGCATAGCTGAGCAGTTGTGGGGCAGTGTGAAGACAGTTCCCAGAGCCTGGCACCTGGTGTCCGTGGAGCATTCAGATGGAAAAGCCCCTGCTCAGCCAAGTTATGCTTCTAACTCCTGATGTGGTTGTATAGGCGGGGGGAGGGTGTGTCCCTCGGAATGTAACACCACTCTAACCAGGGTGGCTTAATCAACCAGAGGGTTTGTTTCAGTGACATCAGAAAGTGGAGAAATAGTTTTCAATCAGAAAAGCAAGACTTTTTCTCTCCCTCTCCAATTAAATTCTCACATCACTACAACTGAACAGCTAGAGAAGCCCCCAAGAAATGATGGCATGATGTTTAAAGTGTGCCAAGAAAGCTTGGCATAGTGGCGCACACCTCTAATCGCAGTGACTCAGGAGGCTGAGGCAACAGGATGGAGAGTTTGAGGTCAGCCTAAGCAACTTAGTGAAACTCTGGCTCAAAATTAAATACAAAATAGAAAGAGATGAGATGTGGTACAGTGCCAAGGCCATGGGCTTAGCCCCTAACATCACCAAAATAAAAAATACCAATAAATAAATAAAATGTGCCAATGATATCATCCAGAAATAATGTAGCAAATAGAACATGTGGTCCACTGTCTTCTCAGCAATGTACATCTATTTTTTCTTGGGTCACTAAAGTTTTTTCCCTTTGTCTTTTCTAAATAAAGCCCTGCAATTCTTTTTATCAGAAATCATCTGACAAAGGGTTTACTGACAACTTTCTATTAGCAAAAAAAAAACATAAAAAAATCACACAAAATACAATAGACAGTATCTCATACAGAAGTCAACGTGCTGGGAGTCCTAAAAGAAAACAAAGAAAAACTGTTTAAAAAATCCCCCCAAATCCAAGCACTTAGTTTTAGTTATGGACAGAACTTTGAACCCCACCAAATGAACCAAATTAATAATTCAGCAGAGAATTCAACCAAGGGAACACGTAGCGAAGAAAGCAGACTTTAATTTTTCTTAGTACATGTTTGCAGTACAAAATAACTACATTCATAGTAGGGAACTGGTACAGATACATAACATACCTCCCTTCTTTCCTATTCTTCCCTTCCACTCTCCCTTTTTTGGCTAGCCTCAGATTCATGTATTTATCTTATAATTCCTTAAAAAATTGCCATACATACAGATTAACAGCCAGACTAACAGGCCAAAATGAATCCAATTTTAAAGTAACTTTTTGTGACACAGACTTGGCGCTGGAAAGGGCAGCTCTGGGCTAGGCCCAACCTGTCACTATCACTATCAGCATGTGCTCCTCTTCCAGCTTGCCCAGCGTCCTCAGGGCGGACTGCAGGTACTGCTGTGAGAAGGGGCAGGGTGGGAAGGCATAGAGCATGCCCTTGCAGTCTCTGCCCTTGGGCCTACCCACTGGCAGGCTGATCACCCCTGCAGCCTGCTTCCCCTTTAAGTAAGAGACCAGGTTCCTGAGAAGCCGCCTCTGTAGGCCTGGTTCCATGATGGGCATCCCCTCCGTGCCAGGCCCGCTGGGGACTGACTGTGTAGCCAGGAGCACGGCGTAGCCCTTGGCCCTGCCCCGCCTGATGCGTCGTGTGACCTCCTCAAACTTGGGCTGCTCCAGTGAAAGGCGCTGTGTAATCTTCAGCTGGGTCAGCCGGCTCCCGGATGTCTGGTCTGTCAGGAGACCACTGATAACTCCCTGGTCTCCCTCTAGGATATACATAGACACTGGAAAGCAGCTGGTTTTCAACACTAGAAGCCCATTCCAACCTAGCTGCAGGGTCTGCGAAAGAGTCTTCAGCTTTTTGGTCTCATGTTTTGATTCTTCCAGAGGCTTGGGCTCTGCCTCAGTAGTCCCATAACTGCACTCTCTCTCACTTGTCTTCTTCCCACAGGAAGAGTCTGCAGCTTCTTGGAGGAGGTGGTGGCCCCACTCCTCAGCCCCACGTGTGCTGCTGCTGAGGGAGTTGGTGCCCAACTCCAAAGTGGTCCCGGTACCAGTGTGGTTCGCCTGGCAGTCATACTGTGGTCCAACCCCCTTGGTCCAGCTCCACTTCTTATATGCACAGTGGGGCGTTCTCCCATGGAGGTCCTCCCGCCTGTCTTCCCACATCTTGGCCAGGCCTCGGTCCTCTTCCCCGCTCCAGTGATCACCACTGAGGCTGTGCATTGAGCGGCTAAGACCCTCCAGGCTGTTTCTGGGATCCACAATTTTACTGGGGCGGGTCCAGTGCCCTTCCAGAAAGGTCGGATCTCGGCCTAGATGCAGGTACGGGTGGATCTTGTCTCGCACCCGCAGGTTCAAACCCAGGGCTGGGTGCCTGGAAAACCCATCTTTGAGCGGCTCATAATCCACGGGGAGGGGTGCGGGTCGGTACTGCTGGGGATACCGCGACTCCCCTGCTTTGGCAAAATCCACTCGGAGCCTGCGGTGCGGACCCCCCAAAGGAAAGCCCCTCATTTCAGCACAGGCAACCTGAGCTGAGTCCAGGTTCTCATAATGGATGTAGGCGAAGTTATTTCCTTTGACGTGGTCAATGGTGCGAATGATTCCAAAACGGTCGAACTCCCGGGCCAGGGCTGCGGGCAAGGTGTCAGGTCCCAGGCCCCCCACCCAGAGGCGAGTGGTGGGGCCGGCCCTGCCGTGGCCTATCTTCATGGGCCCCCTGCCCGTCACGCGGCCTGCCATGGCCGCCTCGGTTCTGCGTGCCGCGTCCGGGCTCCGGAAGCGCAGGAAGGCCCAGGCCGCACCCCGCCCTCGGGCGGGCCCCCTGCCGTCCGCCTCCTCGAGGCCGCCGCCGCACTTCCCGAAGGCGCGGCGCAGCGGCCCCTCCGACG